CGAATTAGATATCAACGATAATTTGTAAAAGTATGAATAAAATGTATAGCATACTATCTAGGTTGATATGACTGTAAGTCGCAGGATGGTTATGGAGAATTCTTAACTTTTCTGGCTCACCGGTGTTTTCATTGTGTTGTTTTCACGTTTCGAGTCAGACGCACGAGCTTTGTGCACTATATAACGCGTTGTAAAATCGCTGTATTTATTCCTTGTGATATTTCAATTACTCTCTGGCTTTGAAAGAAAGTATATTATTGACTTGTACTAGTTTTTCATGCTCTAAATCGTTTGTTTTTGAAAATGAAAAAAACGCCGGCATTGGATTCGTACACATTTTCAAATTGATAATAAGAAACGAAATCTACAACTTTCATTCATAAAGCTGTGCACATTACCTTTAAAAACTGAACATTTCCACTAGACAAAAATCCAAGCATTGACATTGACAATTTTCAATCAAACATCTGTTGTTGCAGTTCCATTTAAACTATGTCCTTGTATTATATCAATAGCAGCTTTTGCGATATTGATGTCACAAAACTCTTACTTAAAATGGAAACACATGAGCTACAGGGGTCTTCATGAAAATTTGAATGATGCAAATTGATAATAAAGGGTCCCTGATATGCCTAAAAAGTTTAGAAAACCCTTTTACAATCCATTTAAGACAAATGAACAGGACGTTATTTATATCTGATATGCACTTTATTTATAGTTAGTAATGAAACCCCGGAACATCCTGTTATTTCACCAGTATCAGGACATGTTTTTGAAAAAAGGTTAATTGAGAAATATATACAAGAAAATGGAACAGACCCTATGAATGGAGCTGAACTTTCAGTTGATATATTGATAGACATTAAAGGTGAGTAGAATTCTGGTAATCTTTCACTTTTGTGGTTTTGTGGCTCAATCCATCCCTGACCTGTAATTGGTAGGTAAGTATTGGTTACATTACTACATTGTTTATCAAAATTCAAGTTCCTTAACTAAGACAGTAACTGTAGCTGATCTATTAGTTTTAAATGTAAATTCAAATTTGTTAACAAATTAATGAACATTGGTTAATTGAAAACAATTATTCATTGGCTTATATAAGCTGATGCTCACTAGTAATATTTTTCTACTAAAAATTTTGCTAATGCCAATGAAATGTTCAGAATTTCAATTGTTCAATCAAACTCATCCACGTCTTTCTTGTAAAATTTATTTTTTTTCTGAATGTTATCAGAAACATATCTTATTTACAATGTTGTTATTTCAGTGTCACCATTAGTTAAACCTAGACCACCATCAGCTACTAGTGTCCCTGCTATACTTAAATCCTTACAAGATGAATGGGTTAGTTTTAAATTGATGTTTCTGAAAATATACGTTCACTTAAATATAAATCATGTTTTGTTGATATTTGATCACATCATCTCAGCTAAAGTAAATCAAATTGTTCAATTATTATTTATCATTCTAATCTGAAAATGGTCAAGAGAATGTTGTCAAATTTTATGGTAAGCGCTCAGCTAAGTCATTTCATTGTCAAGAGACACTATACTGTACAGTGTTTCTATTGTCAACTGTTTGCTTATGTTCAGATGTTGGCCAAAACCAAATATTTATATAATTGAAAGCATATATTTTGATTTCAGGATGCTGTTATGTTACATAGTTTTACTTTACGACAACAGTTACAAACAGCTAGACAAGGTCAGTACAGATTATAACAAAGGCCCTATGATTAAGTCAGAGATGAATTTAATTGTGTAGAAACAACCAGATATTGTCAAAATCATTTGCGCTGAATGTAATAAAAGTAGCTGACTTGTCTTTGTTGCCAGGGAGAAATTCATGTAATGCTAACTGTATTCAAGATACTGAAATTTAAATATTGAAGGAAGATCCATGCTGAATATAATTTGTCACCCCAAAAAACACACTTAATTTGACAAGTTAGCTCTTCCAATTAGTCACATTAATAAAGGTTCATAATGATTGAAAGTATGTGTTGATAAGTTCAACAGGAAGTTCAGTGGTTGATGACTGATACTCAATTTCCAGCCTTAAAATATAACTGTAGTTCATTATATTGTAGCAAATTACAATTAATAGAATTAAATTAATATTAGTTTCTTTGAGTCAAATTGTGGTGAAAATAGTTGTTTTGTATTTCAGAATTGTCTCATGCTTTATATCAACATGATGCAGCCTGTCGTGTTATTGCTAGATTAACTAAAGAAGTCACAGCTGCCAGAGAGGCTTTAGCTACATTGAAACCACAAGCTGGTATAACTGCTGGTGCTCCAGGATATGCTCCACCTTCTCAAGCACCAGTAAGTTTCTACTTATTGTTTTCAATTTAAACACATGGATTCAGAAAACCCTAACAAACTTATTGCTTAGATGATCAAGCGCAGAAAGCATACTCTGTATCCATAATAAAGTTCATGTAGAAGACATGCATTTTACAGAAGTCACATTGTTATTGAAGCTCAATAATAGTGAATGATTAAAGAATTTTTAAACAGCTTAAGGTTTTCTTTTATTTCTGAAATCTCTTGCACTTTTTTCCTGACTTTACCTGATTTTTATCTCAGAATTTTCATAATCTTTACATGTATTTAATCTTTGAATTTCTGTTTTCTAGGCCTATGCTGCTGAGGCAGGTGCTGAAGCTGTTCAACCAATGGAAGAAGCTGGTATGAGTGAGGAGGTTATTCAGAAGGTAAGACAAACACAGTGGCATCAGAATGTACGAAATATTGTTGTGTGCATTACAGCTTGTGAGGTTCTTTATGAGTTGGAAAACAGAAAAGAATTGGCTCCTTGAACTTGATCAAATAACCTTCAAAGCTGTATGTGGTAGCCATATTTCGCCTATTTCTTAAAACAGGTTATGGCTTACAAACTCACATTAAATGTCTCCATGTACACTTAGTGCTATTCATAATAATGCCATGAATAACTCTAATGGCTCTTTTTATGATTAAGATTTAAAACGTTCTGTTTATATTGTAGTTATTAGACAAGGCTACACTGCTAACAGCTGAACGTAAAAAGGTAAGTTCTATTAGTTTTTGTCAATTCTTCCCATTATTGTGAAAGGTCCTGAGATAATGCTACTGAAAGTACAAAATCTATCTCAATATAAAACCTTCAAAGTAAAAACTGATTTGAAAGTTGTATTTATATTTCATAGAGAGGTAAACAAGTACCTGATGGATTAGCTACAGTAGAAGATATAAGATCATATAGACAGTTGGCTTCACATACTGTAAGTTGTATATTTTCATTCAAGATTATTTGTCTTCAATTTTTGTTGTCAGTCTAATCAGAATTGGTATAAATAGTTAAAAAAGCTGTAATTTGACACCAAACTAGAAATATCTGAAGCAGTAAGCATCCTTTTATTCTAATTGAATATAAAGATGCATGCAATATCAAATTCTTTTTAAGTTGTCTAAAATTATTAATTTACCTTGCTTTGTCTCGATATGTGTTATTTAATAATGTGCTGTATTTATTTATAGGGTTTACACAGTGCTAGTGTGCCAGGTATATTGTGTTTAGATATGTGTTTAAAAGATACTTCAAGAATTGTTACAGGTACAGTGTGATATAATAATTGTAATTTGAACTATCTCTCAATATTTGTAGGAATGCATCAAAAATTGCTGGCAATGGTATAACCAAATAACATGGGTGCTAAAATGAAGAGTGTAATGAATGCCAGTCTAGCTCAGTCTTGGCTTCAAAATATTCTTACTTGGGACTTAATGTACTTAGCTATCAACTAAACAAGAATAATACTATTTTGAAAATATTGTATATGATTATAGGTGGTAATGATAAGAATGCTGTAGTATTTAATAAAGATACAGAACAAGTAATGGCTATATTAAAAGGACATACTAAAAAAGTTACTAGTGTTATATATCACCCTGAAGATGTAAGTACTGTATTCTTCCTTTTATACGCCCACCTCTCTCTATGTGAACGTATATTGTCGGCACCCCTGTCCGTCCGTTGGTCCATCTGTCCCTCAACATTTTCTTGTAAAAGCTCTAAAAAGTAGATTTTGTGATGGAATCAAATGAAATATGTGTATACATATTCATAAAACGAAGATCAAGTTCGAATTTGAGCTATTTTCAACCGTTAGAAGCAGAGTTATTGCCCTTGCTCCAAAATCTTGAATATATTCCATCTGCAATGCCGTGGTGGGTGTATATGGCTTTGGTCCACTATCTTTTAGCTTGTTTTGAAATTTTGTTTAATCATGTACATAAAAGAAGGGCGTAAAACCTTTAATTTCCTCGGATATGTGGTAGATTTGGCAGGTGATGGCTGAAATCTTTTTGTCAGTGGAATTTATTATGGCCATTCACCTTACAGTGAACAGTACGGCTGCCAATTCATGTCATATTAATTGAAATATACATTCCCCTCCCCGTCTGAAAGATCTATAGACTATAGAGTAGTTTACTGAAATATAAAGACAGGGTTCCTATGAGATTTAGATTGGTATCAGACGAGATATTTTATTTCAGGAAATTGTTATATCAGCCTCACCAGATTGTTCTATTAGAGTATGGGGTGTACAGACAGCTCAGTGTGCTCAGTTAATACGTGCCCATGAAGCCCCAGTTACTGGTATTAGTTTACATGCTACTGGTGACTATCTGCTCAGTTGTTCCACAGACATGGTAAGTCTTTGACTTAATTTCATAACAAAGGTGCCAATCTGCTTTGCACATATTAGAAAATTTCAAATAATTCTGAATCACATAATGACATATAACAAGGCTACCTTATTTTGGCTTTAAGTCGAAAAATGATTTTCTTTAATATTTTCCAGCACTGGGCATTCTCTGATATCAGAACTGGAAGAGTTTTAACTAAAGTAACTGATACATCAACACAATCGGGTGAGTGTTAAACATATCTTTTTAGGGTCCCGGGTGTTTGATTTCAAATGAGGATGAGGTGGTTGTGTCTTTTGATCCTAGACTCAATCATTGTATTTGTCAGATCTTTACTGTGAAATTAACAAATGCTTCTCTATTTCTAGATTAATGCTCACATCATCATCTTCTGCAGTGCCATTCATATTAGGTTTTTTGTAGATAATGGTATATTTTATTTCAGCTCCAGCTTTAACTTGTGCACAGTTCCATCCTGATGGTTTAATTTTTGGTACTGGTACTGAAGATTCTGTTATTAAGATTTGGGATTTGAAAGAAAGAACTAATGTAGCGAATTTCCCTGGACATCAAGGACCTGTTACTAGCATTGCATTTTCTGAAAATGGTGAGTATGTTTTAGAAAAGAAGAAAATGGTCAATTTTTACCTTTTTTTCCAAAACAAATCATACTTCTGAAGGTGATAATTGAAAACCCAATATGATGTCACTATTTTGAAAAAACCTGTAGATTGTTGTACAATGGGAAAGGATTGTCTCTATGACTTTATTCTGAAGCGTTGATGTGTGACGCATATGATAATTTTACATGTTATTTTATTCAGGTTACTATTTGGCTACGTCTGCTGAAGATTCTGTTGTTAAATTGTGGGATTTGAGGAAACTGAAGAATTTTAAGACAATTCAGTTAACTGACAAATATGAGGTAAGATACTGAAATCTAGAACTTTTGGCTGTAAATGATTATAAGTTGGTTATGTTGCTGGATATTGATAACCCTTCTACAATGCAATGCGTATAGCAATATGATGTATGAGACATTTTATCTTAAAAGTTGCAATGATTTTTTTTTACTCCATATTTTTAGACACTCGTAAATTGTAGTATTTTTATTGTACTTAAATATCCACTAAAACATTTATGTTCACAAATGTTAATTCCATCTGTAATATTTTCTAATATCTATTCATCAGGTTCGCTCATTAAGTTTTGATCAAAGTGGTACCTATCTGGCTGTTGCTGGTTCAGATGTTAGGTGAGTTAGTTTTGATGAATTTTATTCATGCAATTAAAAGCCAATTCAGAGTTATTGTTAAGCAGTTATATATGCCTGCTTTTCTTGATCTTCTGATCCTTTAGTGAATGTGCATTAATACTGGATAAATGTTGCCTTGAAAACAGAAATTCATTAAATTTCTACAAAATGTGCATATATGTAGCAAAATTTAGTATTTTTGAAGATCTGCTGTTTCAAGTATGAAAATATTATAGTTATGATCATGTGCAAAGATCAAAAGTAAAATGTGATATTTGTTTTTTTAGAGTATATCTATGTAAACAGTGGAATGAATTGGCTATATTTAATGACCATACAGCCACAGCTACTGGTGTACAGTTTGGTACCAATGCTAGATACGTTTCATCAGCTAGTATGGATAGATCATTGAAATTCTTTGGACTACCTTAATCCTCAAACTTCATTATTGTTGTTGATAGAAAATGCTATTGTTGGCTTTTACAATATAATCTATTCTATATTTGGGCCAGAAATTACAATTATTCATAACAAAATATTCTAAAAGGGGGTGTGTGCGAAAGCTTTGCAATAATTGTCATAAAGTTTACACATATAACATTCTCTTGGTTCTAGATAATATTTAAAAGCTAGGAACATACATTTGTCAAATTGTAATATCAATTGTTTTTGTAAAAAGTTTGTATCTAAATAGTATGTAATTTTAAAACATTTCCAAATTATTGTCATTTTCATCTCTCAGACAATTCAATATTATGATAGTGCTATCATTGATCTTTTTTTTCATATAATCAAAACTATTAGTCATCTTGTATTATTTTGTCTATATTTTGTGAACAAGCTTTTATGAAATAGGTTCATGTTATTCTAGTATCAATATTAGCTAATTACAAGAACTTTTTGTCAAGACTCCAAATTCCAGTGTTGAATTATTGATAGTTTATTGAAGTTGAGTATCCGCTTTCTGCCTGTGTGAGCCATTCTGGCTCATTCAAGTGTGACATAGTATCTATTGGACTGAGTAAGCGCTTCATATTTGACATCTCATTTTATCAAAATGTGACATTTTTTAAACCAAGTAAAAGACCTGTTATTGACTGCAAATTATGTTTCTCATCTGTATATTGCTTTTATAAATCACTGTTGGATCCCTTCACATGCTCATGCTTTTAAAGCTTAGTAGGATTTCAGATCTTGCACAATTTGATTATTCTAACAGCAAATCTATATGTTCATTATTATGTTACATACAATTCATTATAAAATAAATTCATTTTGTAAAGAGACTTCTCAATCAACTATTAATCAATTATTGATGGATACTTCAGAAATGTGCATCTGTAATAATTATCTTATTTATCTATAACTTGAACTTCTAATATGCCATAAGGATTTTTGAGATGCTGTCATTGATTGTAACTGGCGGCCAGTTGTAAGCATTTGAATAAGCACCATACGTAGATGCAGTTTACACCACTGTCATGCTTCTATACAGGGACATCTGAATGTCTCTTATGAGTAATACTTCAAGTTGCACATTAAAGATACCTAAACAGTTGGGAGAAAGAATAGAATATTGTTGTTAAAATTTATCTCACTGATAACTGCATGACACTTCTTCATTTTGAGCAGTAAGACACTTCTGAATTCTAGGACAGTACACATTACTATAGCTAAAGATTGGCAATTTGAACCTAGGAGATCTATTATAATCATGGGCATAACATGTAATACTGAATTTGTACATGAAAAAAAAAATTCTATAGTAAGAAAAGAGGTTGTAATAAATAATAATAACAGTACAGCTATAACACAGGTACAATATTTAAGACTTAATAAATATCAATGATATTGTACATGTTTGATGACTGACAAAAAACGCATATCAAGCTTATCAAAAAGCTAGAATGAAATTAACAGTAATCACTGTATAAGATAACAGAATAGAATAGCTATCATTACCTTGATTACCTATATAGAACAGTTTTTAAACTGAATTGATTATTACGGAGCCCCTTAGACACAATTTTCCATACTTTTAACAAATATTTCGTTTAAACGAAATAAGTTATTCGATTAAACGAAATGTCATATATTTCGTTTGAAGAAACCAACAAGGGGAAATCTTTCAAATTATATTTCTGACATTACACCGAAAATAAAAAAACAATTATGTTATTGTCATGCGACTGAGAATACAGCTCCATTACCAATGCAATAATTAACAGAATTAATATTTACTAGAATTATATGGACAAGTTAAGTTGCTACAAGATTGAACAAAAATCTTTTACATGTAAAAAAGCTTCTATGGGTATTATTTACAAGTTTGGCACAGTTAGGTTTATAAAAAACAATTCACAATGCCAAATCAAACAGCAATATACATTTTCTCATTGATTTACAGATTTTAAATCCTAACATTGTAAGCAAATCTAAGGAGATGCATAAAAGATTTGTCAGATCATGGCTTGATAGTGGTGTCACCTTCAAGTAAAAAGACATACAGATTTGCATCTAAATGAGGTTGCTGGAATAGCCTGTTTTGGTGGTAATCATGTTGCAAGCAAAATCTCAAGAGAACCTGTGACTAGAGACCAAAACTTATTTCTCAATAGTTAAATGTAATATAATATATATATCAGTTTGAAAGACAACAATTGCACTATAAATAAAAGCATATACACATGCATACAAAATGTCTACGGGAAGCAGAGACAAAAGGGGTAAAAAATAGCCTATTGATTTCTATTTAAAAAAAATAGTAAAAAAAGGATTTTTAATAGAAAAATAGTTTAATCTATGATGACTAAGGTGAAATAGAGATCTTGATACAGCAAACTCATATTCAAAAGTTTCCACAGAATTGAGGTTACCATTGTTAATAAAAGAGCACCTAAACAGGAAACCTTTTAGTTTTTATCGAGAATATAATAAACACACCAAAAAATATTGTATTCCTAAACTCTTAAATCAATTCTTGGCACAAAGGATAACCAGCCCCACGTAAGGTTGTCCATGTTAACTGTTATTAAAAATGTGCTTTGTCTCCCTTTGGCATGATTTGATGAAAATAAAAATATATTTTTGATACCTTTTTCTTTAAGTTACATTATAATATTCTAAGTTTATCAAAAAAACAGAACCAAAATTAATATCACAAACATCTAGTAATGGTATTTTTTTATTTTCAAATACCAGTTAACCCTGAAGACAGTAAAATAACCAAAGGCAGTGGAAAAATTGCTTTGTCTCTTAAAACCGACTAGTTCAATAACTGACCTGTCTTTTAACCTCTCCCAATTCTCAGAAAATCATAATTTCAAATTTATCTTAAGTTTCAGAATCAATAAGTTGAAACTTCAACTTGGAACAAAAATCTTAAATTTTGAAAAATTGGTTCTGAGGTATTTACAGAGAGACTTCAAAAATTTACTACTGGTAATTATCTTCAGCATTAAAGAAGTTGTAAAGAGGTTTTCTCGCTTTCTCATGTGCTTTTTTCCAGTCAAATTTTCTGTCGGATACTAGTAGTTCCTTGAACTACAGAAATGCATAACAGTATGACATCATCACCACAACGGCTGCTTAGAAAAGCTTAGGAATAATGGTATAGTGACATGATAAAATGCTTGGTTTTAGTGAAATTGCAAAAACCATAGACTGGACTGGTGCCAATCAATGCTATACGCATAAAAAATGTTAAAAACCCTCTTTACAGTTCCTTTGATTTACATGAAAAAAAAAGAACAAATTCACTTTTAATGGTTATTTCGACTGTTAAACGCAAATGCAAGAATGTACATATAGAGTATAAATTGTTGTTCAAACAAGAAGGTAATAGAAAAAAATTACAATAAATGCAAAAAAAATAAATAATGCTATAGAAAGGAATGAGTAAGTAAGTATATATTTAAAGTTTAGGTTTATATATTAAGCTTTAGGTTTATATGAAAATTCTGGTTTAGGTTGATATAAAAATCTAACTATAAAATATAAAGAGATTTTTATGAAAATGACAAAAAGGGACTTTTTACAAAAAATATAAAAAAAAATAGATACAATTTTAGTAACAACAATCACTTAAATAATTACAAATAATGATCCATGGATATCAATTACTCAAATAATTAGTAACTATTATCCATTCATTTAAATCACTTGAAAAGATGATCTATTGATAACAATTACTGAAATCACTTGCAATGATCCCTGAATAACAGTAATTGAATAACACAAATGATAATTATGCATGGATCATTTTTAACACAGGCTTAAAAATTATTATCCATGAAATTTCCATGAAAGTTTCAGTAATGGAATTTTATGGATAACAATTTTTAAAACCTTTTTAAATAATGACCCATGCATAATACTCAATTGATTAACTTGCTAGAGGGATCCATCAATAAATAATAATCAAATAATGTGCAATGATGATGATCCAAAGAAAACATTACTTACATCAATGCCATTGACAATTATTTTTAAAAAAAAACTCGCAATGATGATCCATGGATAAAAATCAAGTAATTTGCAAAGGTTATCTCAGAATAAGAATTAATCATATTACCATGATATTTTTAAAAAATAACTAATTAATTAACTTGCAATGATATTTTTAAAAAATAACTAATTAATTAACTTGCAATGATATTTTTAAAAAATAACTAATTAATTAACTTGCAATGATATTTTTAAAAAATAACTAATTAATTAACTTGCAATGATATTTTTAAAAAATAACTAATTAATTAACTTGCAATGATATTTTTAAAAAATAACTACTTAATTAACTTGCAATGATATTTTAATAAAAATAACTACTTAATTAACTTGCAATGATATTTTAAAAAAAATAACTATGTGATTGATTTGACTTGAAGTGATGATCCATAGATAACAAATACTTAACTTGCAATGGTAATCCATGGACAGCAATTATTTAAATATATTTCAGTGATGATCCATAGATAACAAATACTTAACTTGCAATGGTAATCCATGGACAGCAATTATTTAAATATATATCAGTGATGATCCATAGATAACAAATACTTAACTTGCAATGGTAATCCATGGACAGCAATTATTTAAATATATTTCAGTGATGATCCATAGATAACAAATACTTAACTTGCAATGGTAATCGATGGACAGCAATTATTTAAAATATATTTCAGTGATGATCCATAGATAACAAATACTTAACTTGCAATGGTAATCGATGGACAGCAATTATTTAAATATATTTCAGTGATGATCCATAGATAACAAATACTTAACTTGCAATGGAAATCCATGGACAGCAATTATTTAAATATATTTCAGTGATGATCCATAGATAACAAATAGTTAACTTGCAATGGTAATCCGTGGACAGCAATTATTTAAATATATTTCAGTGATGATCCATAGATAACAAATACTTAACTTGCAATGGTAATCCATGGACAGCAATTATTTAAATATATTTCAGTGATGATCCATAGATAACAAATACTTAACTTGCAATGGTAATCCATGGACAGCAATTATTTAAATATATTTCAGTGATGATCCATAGATAACAAATACTTAACTAGCAACAATTATCTGGGACAACAATTATTCAAATCACTTTTTTGATTGACAATAATAACTAAATTTGTATATATATTGTCGTTAGGCCCTGCCATTACCCTTCTATATCCCAGTAATTAAGATAAAATTGAGAGTTAATGACCAATCAGAAAATTAAGACACTAAAATTATCTATAAATGCAATTTTTTAATATTTACACTTTTATCAATAAATAAAGCTCTAAATGGCACCATAAAGAAAATAAAGACAAATTCCTTCTAATATCGCGTTGAAAATTGAAAAACACATAATATACAACTTCATTAATAATTAAATATACAAAAGCACAGTTATGACAAATAAAGTGAGTGCTCTTATGGAGAACAACCAAGGTCATTTCAATCACCAAAAGTATGAGGAGTGTAGATGCAAAAGTTACATTTTCGGTTTAATTTTTGACCAAATACTTCACGTTATTGAGCTGTGGTAATATTTATGTAAATAAAACTTGTTTAAAGTATCTGAAGCAAAATAAACCCCTGAGCAATTTACTTATGAGCATCTGACCTCAACCAAAGATGTTGGTAATGTCATCAACAAACCTTATATCAAGCTGAGATTCCATCATAGATAGGGAAAATGTTTTTATACATAAAAATTCATCTGACCTCTCCAGTTTCAAGGTTTTAAAAAGATCAAATTATAATTGATGCAATACACTGGAATTTTTACAACAGTGATTTTGTCTATTAGAAAAAGAGTTAACAACTAAAACCTTAGTAATCATTAGAGTTCATGCCAAGATTATGAAACAACAGAAATTCCAAAAATGATAAACCGGAAACAAATATTTATTTTTAATTCTGGAAAGCTTGAATAACAGACAAACTTCCACAAAAACAAAAAAATTTAGCTTGGCATGTTCCTCTTTATAAAATGCCTATAAAACTCTTAATGGTAATTAGGAATAAATGCTAAATCATAAATTAATAATTAAATAATTAAATAACAAAGATGTAAGAAAGCCACAATCCTGTTTTGAGCTGGATATTTTAGAGAAATTCCACCCAGCAACATTTTCCAAATGGTGATTCGAAAAGAAGAATAAAATTGCTTATAGATCTAATTGGTCCACAAAAACAACTAATTATTAATGACTGATTAAGACTGTTTCACATATTGCGGATGTTCTTGTAGAAAATCCTTTAATTTGGTAGGAAAATCTGTCATGACACCCATGACTTGAGTTTTAAATGCTATATCAAATTCTTCTTCACTATTTAATACCCATACAAATGTCTAGAAGAAAACAGATGTCAAAAAAATGAGTAATGACCAATTCAAAAACGCAATGACCAATTCAAAAACAAATCTATGGGTGTGACTAAAAGGCACAAACTAGGCAAAACAATATAATGCACCACAAATCAGGAAAGCCATTATTTTTTAACTCAATTCATGACACATTATCATTCAATGTGAAGATTTTTGTTGCATATGCTATTTAGAAAAATCTCTCGAGCAGATAGTTTTTGAAAAGATTTGCATCTAATCTACAGCAAATTGGGTGACTTTGACAAATTTATTGATGTGTCAGTCAGTTAATGACATAAAGAGTGTTTTAAAGGAGAAAACATACCCTGTTTCCATGACAACATAAATAATAATACTTACATGTATTCCTCTTCTTTCTAAATGTTTAAACAATAATGGCCTCATTAATATCCTACAAGAGAAATAAACCATGACTTAATAGAATGCTCTGCCAAAGCCTCTGTCAAATATTACAACTTGTACATATTGAAATAAGGACCTAGATTTGACAGTCATTACAATTAAAATTCCAAGTAAGACTGATGTGAATTTAGGAGTTTATTTACAAATGGTCAGTCACTAAAATGACTAATAAATTTAGTTTTCTGATGATTGTATTTCTTAAAATCATAATTTCATCAAAGTTACAGATCTCCTCTAAATAATGATCTGAAATAGGTTACTTACATATTTAAAAACTTGACTAAATAACCTTGTTTTTTATTCAAATTCAACTGAAATTTTTTGGTGCTGAAAAAGAATTTTCAGGTTATTGTAAATGGGCACAGCATTCTTAGGGTAAATTGTAAAGTAAACCCTAAAAAACTTCAGCTCTTATGAATAATTGTCTGTACCTTTAGATTTTATCTACAGTGAATTTGACAATCTTTTTAATTATTTCTACTGCAGCTATTTTCTTAAAATCATGTCATGTCAACAATACCAATTTTTTTTATACACATACCCCTAAATCAACAAATTGTCTACTATAAAAATATACTAATCAACAAATTGTCTACTTACTCTAAGAATATCCTAATCAACAGATTGTCTACTTACTCTAATGGTTTTCTTTGATTTAGTTCATTGCATATTAGCATCACAATATTGTAAACATAACTTTAAGCCTGTGCCTTATATTGAATAGTCACCCTAATCTCTAAGAATATACTAATCAACAAATTGTCTACTTGCTAAAAGAATATCCTAATCAACAAATTGTTTAACTCTTAGAATATCCTAATCAACAAATTCCCTACTTTCAGAATATACTAATCAACAAATTGTCTACTTGCAGAATATACTAATCAACAAATTGTCTACTTACTCTAAAAATATCCTAATCAACAAATTGTTCAAATGCTCTTAGAATATCCTAATCAACAAATTCCCTACTTTCAGAATATACTAATCAACAAATTGTCTACTTGCAGAATATACTAATCAACAAATTGTCTACTTGCAGAATATACTAATCAACAAATTGTCTACTTACTCTAATAAAATACAAGGCATGATGATTTCTAAACATGATTCTTTAAATGGTATAAATGGTAATAAACCAGTATAAAATAATATTAATAATGTTATGACTTTTTTCATAGAAAATAATAATGGTATTTCAGGATTCTGTAATAGAAAAATTGTTTTCAAATAAACATATTATCAATATTATACTGCTTTTTGTTAAGATGAGTTTATTTGCTAAATCGAGGTGGTTTTTAGTTGCAAGTCAGAAAACTTGTCATATTTCAGGTAGTAGTAAAGATAACAGAAGAAAACTTACTTCCTTGTATACTTTTGTACAAATAGTACTACTTCGATTTCCCCATACTGTTATATCTTGTCTCTTATACTTCTTGACTAGATCAGACACCTAAAATATAAGAACAGGTTAAACTACTTTTTATCCACGTGTCAGGGCTATAACAGTGCTTGTGGCATATCTAGCTCATTGGGAAGACATTAAAGGTGATATCCATGTACGCAATTAAAGCCAATTAATAACCAATTTGTTAAGAATCTGGATAACCCAGACAATTTGATATACTTATATATATTACGAAAAATAGCACTCTGATCTCCGTTATAACAAAGTTATACTGTGGATCATATCTAAATAGGTATTTATGATATATGTAACATTTCAGATAAACCCTTAATCATTTATGTTTTATATAAGCTTTATTTTAGCAATAAGGGTATCAATTTTGAAATAAAGTCCCATATAATTCAATTATTCAGTGAAATAGAAATCAAAATAAATTATACAATAATCCAGCTAAAAAATAGACAAGTACCTTTGCAATGAGTTCATTGTTATCTATCTTGATATCTACATTTATTGGTAAATCAGGAAATTCTTCAAAAACATCTTCTAATAAAGGTATAATCCTATCATCACCAGCATGGAGAGTAAAATCTAGAGAATTTTAAAAATGTCATTGATTAAATTCTTAAAATCTGACACTTCACAAGATAGCTCTGATATGGTATACCTACCCTGGACATATATATTACTTATGATAAAAGCTATTGACTGTATTTAACTTAAACTAAACTTAAAGAGATTGTAAAGAGGTTTCTAAATTTGTTATGGGTATTTGGGATACTGATAGCATTGATTTGCACCATTCCAATTTTCAGTTTGACATCATAAAGGCCCTTAGATAATAATAGTTGTTTTTGCATTAGTGACGCCATAAAACTTTTAGTTTTTGAGAAATTGTATCAATTGCCATGTTACAATCCCTTTAGTCAAATATTTTTCCTAAAATTAGATTTTTCATTAGAAAATCAATATTTTCATGATTTCAAATATATTCATGTTTTACAAATCAATTTCCATTAAGCGAGCGATCTTTATCATTTACAGCATGAAGCTTGAATTTTTAACAAAACCATCCAGGAATTAAACCTACTTACCTCTTTCAAAATCTAAACACATAGTATCTTTCATCATGGGTAAATCCTATCAGAGGAAAAAGTTAAATTTATGGATTATTAAAATAATTTTTAACATATTCTACGCATTAGTCTGCCAAAATACTTCAATCACACTAATTAATCATAGCTTTTCTCTCATACTATCATAACTTTTAAAATTCTACTTTGATGCTTTCTTTCTTTGGAGCTAAAAAAAGACAGGAAAAAGCAAGGAGTGTGCAATAAGGGTACTTTTTCTCAGGTCTAAAGCATTTGAAACTGTATATGGACCTGAAATTTGCACATTTATTGTCCATTTCAAAGAATCTGAAACAATGTTAAAAAAGCCAAAGGAACTATGACATCAGTAAAAGCGAGATTATGAGAGTAATTTTTAGATGAATATATTCCTTCAATTTGTATTTTTAGAAAGTTTAGAATCACAGCATGTGAACATCAATGAACACCTGAGACCAGAGATCTGAACACAATTTAAACAAACTCTTTCAATGCACTAATTACTCATTGATTCATAAACATTTTAATTGTTTGTTTTTTTTAAATTAATTTTGTTTTGGTTGACCTGGTGCATCAACTACAATTATTTTACAACAGCTGAAGTTATTTTCATAACAAATAACAGTTGGTTATCTGTCTGGTTAAGTTTTGGTTGTAAACCCAATTTATACCCATAAAGGTGGATGGGGGTAGAAAATCTAAATTTTGAATTCAAGAATGATTTTGATATCCAGGACGCTTTTACACAAAACATGCCAGCTTTAAAATAATTTTTGTAAATTTGTAATAAATATTGAAAACAATCTGATTTAGTTAATAACATGTCAAGATGAAAATATCTCTAACAGCAACTACACAGTTTCTCATAAAAAAATCAATACCAGTTATAATTTACTTACAGCATAATCAGTTTCAGTAATCTTAACAGTTTTTCCACAAACTCTTTCTAAATCATTATCATGAGCTACCACAACCTGTCCATCTCGAGTTATATGACAATCCAACTCCAACATATCAGTTCCTAGTTTTACAGCACTGAAAATAAAGTAAGAGGAAAATTTTCTAAAAATATGTATACCTACTGGTTATAAAAGGTCCTAAATATCTAATTTACCAGTTGAGTTTGTTATGAATTGAAGGAGAATCAAAATGAGATGAACAGAGTTTTATGTCTTATACTTGTATCTAATTGGACTAATGATGTTGAGCAATGCCATGCAGCGTGAAATTTTGCCAGGATAACAGCATTAAGCTAAGATTTCTTATACGCGTCATGCGTCATCCGTCATGCGTTAAAAATTGAAATGGTTGGTTTAAGAGGGTATGATTCCATATATGCGGAAGTGGCATCCATCAAAGAAAAAAAATTGCCGGGTGTAGCGATTTTTGACGCATCCGGACGCCTTTGGTGCGCAGATCTCGCAAATGTGACGTATTTTGTGGGGATACCCTGTCTTTTTATGCACCAAAGCATCCATCTGTCTAATGTCCGTGCGTCAAAAGAAAGATAACGAATACGTTTAACGCACATATGGAATCATATTTGACGCATGACGGATCCGCAAGGGCCATTTATGTCAGCATGACGCATCCGCATGACGCGTATATGGAATCTTAGCTTTAGCCTACTTTTTTTATTTCAAAATATGGGAGATCTTTAACTTGCACTTGTATCACAGGGGGCCTTGGTCTGAATGCAAGGGCATCAAAAATCAGCTTTTCATTGTGAATAGTGATACTAAACCATCAGGATTCAATTTAAGCAGTATCGCACTTTGCGATTCAAAATAAAGATCTGCGAATCAAATCAAATTATGAATTTTTTGCTAAATCTAGAAATATACAGCAACTCTATAATCTTCAGGAATTAACATCATTGACAAGATCTTTTTAAAGTTTCTTTCTGGCACATTTTAATTGCTACCAAATTTTTAAAAATGTGAATCAAAATTTAACTTGATTAACCAAGACTAAAATTTTTTGGGATAAATTGCTAAAACTCATGATAAGGACAGTTAGTGTGAAATGAGGGATGAAATTATGAAATTCAACTTTGTAAACAGCCAGTTGACTGATTTGTTCTGCCAATGGAATAATAATCCCATATTTATCTGATGTTTTCGTGTTGTTTATCCATATCTCCACACTTGCAGATATAAGCTTACGACTCACAACAATTAAGTTGTAAATTTGAAATCATGAATATGTTGACTTACTGCCTGAAAGCTGTCATGGTGTTTTCTAAATTTTCACCAGCGCCTGAAATGAATTACAATTGCTTTAAAAAAATTCATGCTTTTTATAGACCTAATATGATGCAAGCAGTTTGACACTTAACTATGCATTTTGTTCTCGACAGTTTCTTTCATAATAGGCTACACAAGCTAGAAAATCGTTTTTATTTCTTAATGTCATTACATCAAAAGCAAAGCAATAATCCTCGACTAAAACATAATACTTTAAGCTTAAATACCAGGTCAGTTTTAAGTATAATAGAATGATTATATAAGTGTTAAGCTTCAAGTACAGTATTATGAATTGGTTGGAAATATTTTTGTCTTCTTTGACATATATTGATATCAGAATTTACCACATATCGTTTAAACAAGACATTATTAGCATAGGAGACAATATAGACTAGACCAAGTATCATTCCTTCTCAGAATTTAATATAAGCGGTATTGCATCAAACTTTGCGATTCAAAATGACCCCTTTTTGTTATCCAATATTTACGATGGCTGTAAATAAGTGTTGGCCATCGTTACTTTCGTTTTGTTAGTATCATGTGACTCTGTGATCCTTGAACTTTTGGCTGCACGCGCAGTTTTAATTGGCTGACGTGAGATCAGTTTCACTAAAAAAAAAACTGTGATGAAACCACAGACGCGACATATATAATTAAATGGTGTAGGAGGACTATGATAGTATGACTCAACTACAAAAATATACAGCTTTCCGAATAGGTTTAAATCCCCGCACCTTCGGATATGCGAAATATCCTCATTAAACAGGGCGTAGTTTTTCTGTCACTCCAGACTACACCAGGCGACAACTGTCAAAATAGGTCTCAGATGCTAGAATAGAGGCAGATGTTTCAGTCTATGTAGTGTAGCGCCAAAGAAGGATTTGGTTAGCCAGCCTTAACAAATGGGTAGGGGTGGGTTTTATAGATATAAAGCATCATGACTAGACAAAAAATTCTATGCATTGGATAATGTAGGCCAGCTTACAATATTTGAGTAAGTTACAGGTAATCAAAACTAAGACAATAATCATACCTCGCAGGTTTGGAAAAGGAACACATATTGGTTCTTTAGAGAGTGGGTGAAAGTAAAATGAATGAATGAATTAATGAGTGAATTATAATGAATCATCGAGGCGACACAAAAGTAAAACAAAAATGTCTCACCTCCTCTGTGACTGATATGATGAGCTCTAAATTTCAGATTTTTCTTTTTATGAACAAGTCTTGGAAATCTAAATAAGAGTAAGGAGGTTATAATGTAACCTCCTAACACCGCTACAAACACCATAATCCAAATTAAAGTTGAGGTTTCCATAAAACGCACCGACTCATTCGATACTGAAATGACAGTTGTATTTTTAGTAAACAAATGAAAGAGATAATTTATGAAATGAAGTTATATTCATATTCAACATTTAGTATTCGACATTCGAAAGAAATGTCTGGCTTCGGATTTTGCGTTATTCGTTAGCCACGCAAATAATCGTGAATTAAAACATATCCATTTAACTAAAGCTAATAGATTTATAACCAATAACTTTTTAGAGTCTCCAGAAACCAAGCATAATCAATACGTTCGAATATACGTCATCGTATTATTTTACAAACTTCAATTATATTTTTACCTCTTTTGCTAGAGAGTTGCACATCTCGATTATCCAGCCACTCGTCTGCTTTCGGTTCATTATGCGAAACTGAAAGACAAAAACTCAAATTATCACTGGAAATCCCATTGCTTTCACCTCGATCATCCTTAGAGCTAAATTAGCTAGAGACATACACTAAATAGTGTATTTTTAAGCTTTTCTTTTTCCTTAAACCATAATACTTGATAATTTACTACAAACATGATTGTAGGCCTAGCTTTTCTTTGGTCGCCAATCAATACCGAATGATTTACTACAAACATCACTGTAGGGTTACTTTAAACCACAATACTGAATGATATACTGCAAACATCACTGTAGGGTTTCTTTAAACCACAATACTGAATGATTTACTACAAACATCACTGTAGGTTTTCTTTACACCACAATCGGCCTACTGAGTGATTTAGCCCAGGTTACTACAAACATCACTGTAGAGTTTCTTTAAACCACAGACCTAAATGGTTCATAACAAACCTAATACTTAATGATTTACTACAATCATCACTGTAGGCCTAGGTTAATTTCAAGGATAATACTTAATGATTTACTACAAACATCACTGTAGGTTTAAATTAAACGCCAATAGGCCCCTACTGAAGGTTTTTCAGCCATAGGTTTCCTTGAATTAAAGTAATTAAACGCATAATAGGCTACTAAACCTAGCTGACTTATTTACAATAAACTTCGCCGTATAAGTTTCCTTTAAACGTCATTACTAAATGATTCACTGTAGGATTTCTTTAAACCACAATTCAGAATATAGGGGGCATTACCGTGTGGTTTACTACAACAACCACTGTGGGTTTTCTTTAAACCACAATACTGATAATTTTCTATAAACATCACGACAGGTTTTTCTTTAAACCTAATACTTAATGATACTACAAACATCACTGTACGTTTTGTTTGAAACTTATACTTAATGATTTACTACAAACATCACTATATTTTCTTTTATAAATCATAATACTGGATGATTTACTGCAAACATTATTATAGCTTTTCTTTCATCGCCATGAAACCACTGTAGGGTTTCAATACTGAATGATTTACTACAAACATCACTATAGGGTTTCTTAAAGCCAAAATATTGGATGGTTTATAACAAGCATCACTGTAGGTTTCTTTATGCCTCAGTCCCACTGGTCTTTGCGATGGTTTGCGAACCATTGGCGACGGAACATTTGGACAATCTCAAAGTTTCGCCTCTGCAATGGTTAGCGGATGATCGCCAAATAGTTGAAAAGATTCTGCGATCTTTCGCTTAACATCGCTGAATATCTCCGAACATGGTCATGGTCAGCAGATCCATTGCAAAACATCGGCGAACATCGCAGAATTGCCACCTAATAATAAGCGAACCTTTACAGAATCATCTGCGTTGCAAATTTAATGGGAAGGCTCAACCTTTTCTCAAATTTTGTCGCTATCCATCACAAGGCATCGCAATGCTTTTCCTCATTTCCCGAACGAAGACCATCGCCAATTCATAAATTCCCAGTGGGATTGAAGCATTAAGCGCCAATTCTTGATGGTTTACAACATCCATTACTGTAGGTTTTCTTTACACTAATACTTACTGATTTACTACAAACATTACTGTGTAGGGTTGCTTTACACCTAATACTTAATGATTTACTATAAACATTACTGTATAGGGTTGTTTTACACCTAATACTTAATGATTTACTACAAACATTACTGTATAGGTTTGTTTTAATGATTTACTACAAACATTACTGTAGGGTTGCTTTACACCTAATACTTACTGATTTACTATAAACATTACTGTAGGCTTGCTTTACACCTAATACTTACTGATTTACTACAAACATTACTGTGTAGGGTTGCTTTACACCTAATACTTAATGATTTACTATACACATTACTGTATAGGGTTGTTTTACACCTAATACTTAATGATTTACTACAAACATTACTGTATAGGTTTGTTTTAATGATTTACTACAAACATTACTGTAGGGTTGCTTTACACCTAATACTTACTGATTTACTATAAACATTACTGTATAGGGTTGTTTTACACCTAATACTTACTGATTTACCACAAACATTCTTGAAGTTTCCCTTTAAACCTAATACTTACTAACATTACTGTTGATTTGCTTTATTTCTACTAGCCCACATTACTGAATGATATATGATACGGAATAAAAGTATTGAACAGTTCAGCCACTGCGGGTTTTCTTTAAAACATCAGTCAACACTGAAAGTTTTCTTAAATTAAGCAATACACGTACTGACTGATCTAATCCAAATATCCCACTGGGTTACCCTTAAACGCCAATTTAGAAGGTTTTACTTCAAACATTGTTGTATAGGCTTTCTTAAAGTGATACCACGTCTTAGAATAAACATAAAATTTAAGAATTTTAAACTTGGCGAATAAGAGCCAGTAGATATGCCTTGTGTCATAAATAACATATATACAATAATCCGATAAATCCAAAAAACTTTATATCAAGATTAAGCTTTTTCCAATAATTACTTACTTTTATGAATTTTAAAATTTTCCAGGGATTCTGTTGTAACTTTATGACAAAAGGTAAGCTAACTGATGAATAAAGACTAATATGGACCTTTTCGAGAACTTGTAGTATCACTTTAAATTAAACCAAATACATGTAATGTCTGAACTACAACAAGGTTTACTTCATGTTTACTGAAAAGTGGATCAGCCGACTGAGTCAGGGCTACCCCTGACGGAGTGACGGGTGAGGTAGAATTGATTGAGCCGGTAATTAACTGGTAATTAATGTTATCCAATCTAATAGGCCTACTTTTGGGCGACACAAGCGGAACGCCCATTTTTGTGGTTGATCAGATTCTCCTGTGTTCAATAGCCCAATCAAGAACATTAATTAATTTCAATTCATTTCAAATTCTGTCAGTTGTAATCTCCTAAGCAATGAACTTGATTTGAAAGGATTTTACTTACTTCTCATTTCTGTACAGAAAATTATTCACTTTATCAAATGTTGGACTAGATTCTAAGTGTAAGCAAACCGAAGACTTCAATATCTCGCCTATGTTTGATTTTTAATTAGATATGTTTATGTGGGAGTGTAGTTTATAGTTAATGAACCTGTATAATAACTATTGTGTAATTCTCGCCTGTTTATTTATTGCAGAAGTCGGTTAATTTCAAACATTCACAGACAGCCCCCTTTTTCCCAGTATAAAAAAGCTGCCCTGATGATGGTTTATCTCAGCTTGCAGACTGTCTGCATCATAAACAATGAGCCACAATGCTACAGTGAGAATGTGGCAAATGCCCACAGCTGGCTATTTTGAAGATATAACTTTGGCGTAAGATTGTATCAGCAAGCACCATTCTTTGAAACTTTATGTACCCATAACTTTTTGAGGCGAACAATAATGCAAGAGTAGATGATATCATTCCATATTGTGAGCTTTTCACAATATATTGTGGTCGCTTCTGTCATAAGGTATCATAAGCTTATAAAATGTACAAACACCATATCTATAGTCTAGCTATCAATCAGATTGTGATTTGCTTTTAAAAGTCTCGGGGTTTTTTATCCCCACGCGTTGTGTTCTTATTATTATGTGACATACAGAAAGTCATAATATTTATCTCCAAAAGTGTTATAGTTGACTTCACATTATCTTATTAATATAGTTATCACCATTTCCATTAACATAACTATACCAATTACTCATTGGACTTGGTCCTTTGATAAAATAAACATCCGAGGTTTGGATTTTTACATTATATTGCACAGCTTTTTAAAAGTGTTTTTCTATTTTCAGATTGACATTTTATTGAAGGTTTGGAAGTTCAAATGATAGTTAAAGTATATATCAATTTACCTTGTATATATTTCGAAGTATTATTATAATATAACCTGGTATATACCGGTAGCCATTAATCGCTTTTCTTCATTATTCCAGGAAATTTGAAGCAGTCAAGAGTTTTTATGATTCTGTATTTTCCACAGACAATTGTTCCAATAATGTTATTTCCGTAAATGTAGATTATAAGTATTTTGAATTTCTTTATTAGGTCCAAGAAGATTTATATGATAGCCGTTATGACTTTCTTTGATTTAGTTCATTGCATATTAGCATCACAATCATTGTAAACATAACTTTAACCCTGTGCCAGTGCCTTATATTGAATAGTAACTTGTTACTTTTCAATCAACCTAATCTCTAATTAATATATTATTGTTCATTTGGAGACAAAGATTAGCCATTGATATATTAGCACCTTTGTGACCAGAATTTCTATAAAGATGTCTAAAATTTTCAACATCATTTTAGATTTAAGTTCATGACCTTGATACAGTATAATGTTTATTCTTTCAGCACAAAATGCAGCATATCATTTCTCTATCATTACTTATGGTGACCATTCTACTTCCAGTATCCTATAGCAACCAATTTGATCCCCATCTTATTCCAACTCATGGTCCGTTTTTCGAAGGATGGTACACGAGGATAACCGATGAAAAAGAGCCCTCAATACGGATTGGTTTGCTGTTTGGACATGTTATTGCTGAAGAACCTTCTTCATCTCAACCGAAAGTTGTTGCCAGTATTTTGTATCCGCCCACAATAGAAACCTCAGGAACGCCTTTAATTTCTGAAGATGCGTTCTTTGATTTTGATAATCTGGACATGAAGGTTAAAGGACACAAGATCATAAAAAATCCAGATGACTTATCACCAGCCAATTTTAGCTGGATTGTATCCAGCCAGAGCAGTTTTGCAAATTTTACCGTCATCAATGATACCACTTACTTCAATTTTGATTTGAACAATCGTGTCATCTTGAGAGGTAAATTGGGATGTCAAGAAGCTTGGGCCCCTGGTGGAATAGGACCAGAAGGACAGTTTATCAAATATTTTCCTTTACCCCTGGATTGGTTCGTGTACAGTATTCGGTCAAAAGTAACCGAGTATGAATTTATCAATAAAGTAACTGGTTTAAATATAGTCAGATCCACAGGAGTAGTTCACATGGAGAAGAACTGGGGTAGATCTTTTCCAAAAGCCTGGATCTGGTCTCAGGGTACCTCGGATACTGCATACTTGGCTCTTTCGGGCGGGCTGGTTTCTTTTGCTTTTTTGGATGTTAAAGCTTATTTAATCGGTTATCGTAATTTCAAAAAGAACATTGACGTGAATTTCCAACCAATTAACAGCCTCGTTGACAATTTACATGATGGCTGCCAGGGATTTTCAAACCTGACAGTAAATTCTATTAGCTATAAGCTTGAGATTAATATCACCACTCCCTTTTCATACCTTAGTAAATGTCTTTATGGACCAATGAAGAATGGTTTCCAAAAGGCATGTGTGGAATCGTATTCAGCAACGATTGAAATTCGTTTGTATCAAAGACCTGCAATGTTTCGGCTGGAGCTGTTGGACCATCAAGTTATCCAAGGTGCAGCTTTAGAATTTGGTGGTAATTATGTTTGTCAAAGGTTGTGCAGCGAGAGTGAAAATCAGACAAGTATTATAGACGATTTTTTAAAATGGTTTTAGTTCATAAAGTAATTTGTATTACTTAATGAAAAAACCAAAACAAAACCCATATATGATTGAACATGTACTCTTAGTTAATTATTGTGTGTTCCAAATGTGCACACCCAGCTACATGGAATGAAATGTGGACAATAGTTACTGTGTTAATGTGTTAATGGTATGGACCGAATCAGAAATTGGAACATACAGGTCTGTCAACCTGTCATCGATTCGGCCGAACGCCTGCCGTATCTCAGAGAAATGGGTTTCCACTAAAGTAAACAAAAATTAATCCAATATTTTGATTTAATATATGTATCACAGATATAAATATGTACAGCTTGTACAATTATATACAAAAAATATACAAATATACAACATATATATACAGAAACATCATAAACTTAAACGATTTTCCATTAACTGGATGAGGGTGGAACATATGAGCCTGCAGTTGAATCCATTTTCTTGATTTCTGAGGTAATCTGTGCTAAATCTTTTACAAATACTTCAATCTGAAATTGTCGAAAGTCAAATGTCAATAAAATGTCGTGCAGCATGAGTTAGTAACTTGATGATGGTGCAAAATATGAGACATAAGAATGAGAAGTTCTTCTTAATTCAATCACAATCTCTGTTAGATTTCTTACAAACTGGAACACCTGTGAAAAAAAAAAAAAGGAAAAATAATATTTCATTTATACATTTACAAGTTTTGGAGTAGACATTATCTCAAATCCAATTAAATCCCAGATCCAACTGTTTCGTTTTGTGTTAATTTATACTCACCATTCATGATCAGACAAACCTCTTTTTTAAATAGTGAGCAATTTTTACCCTATATGTGTCAAAAGTTATAATTGGTTACCATTGAATGTGGGCTTACAATTACAAATTAAAAGGTAAACAATAAATATCAATATACAGTAGATAAATCTTCCAGTGAATAGAGCATTTGTTTGTGATTGGTTGAATATTAAATGACTTGAACATAAGTTGCACAACAATTTAGTCAGATCATGGATGGCGTTTGAGGATCACAGGAAAACGCAAAAGGAAACGTGCAGATCTACATTTTAATCAAATTTCAAAATATCTTAAAACAGTATGTGAAATGAAACAGTGTAAGTATTACTTTGAATAAAACACATGCAGCTCATGCAATATGCAACTTTCAATTGAATTAGGATATATTATAAATTGGTATAAATGTGAAAAATAAGTAAAACACTTACCTGAAATTATCACCTGAAATTCCCTTATTTACTACCACCATTTTAACAATAAAGGCCAATTATTATTTAGTTGGTGTATGAATATTTTTAATTTTTTTTAATTATGATGAAGACAAAATTTATTTTGTGATAAGAATTGAATAAATGAATTCATTTTAGTCTTGTGTGCAATTAATCCACAAACAGCACACACAATTGAAAATTTTGTTTTGAATATTTGCTTAAACAACTGAAAAATTCAATTTTGATCATGTTTTGGCATTTTTTTACAGCTTTTTTTTAAGAACATTTGATAACAAAATCAAGGAGCAAAGTGTGTACAAATTTACATGTGAATGTCATGTATACAAGACTTGTCAAATAATATTTTCATTCTGAACTGATACTCATGTGTTATTTTACATCAGAATTCTTATAGTTCAAATAGATAATCCATAAACCAACATAAAAAAACAGAGAAGTATAAGGTCAAAATGTAAGTACAGGAATTTTTTACAAATTCAATGATTAAATCATCATTAAGATATAACCCTTGACAAGAGAGATTTGGTCAATAAACCATAAGTTTGAATCGCAATTGTACAGTATATAATTGAGTCCAAAATTTTGTGAAATTAAATAGATTATGTAAAGTATTGAGACAAGCAATACAGACTGTGATATTCTGTAAAATAAAAGTGATGCAACATGCCATTAAGCTGAAAGAAACTGTGATGCAATGAAACATTATGAAAATAATGAACATGAAACCAGCATGCTGTGAAATGAAAATACATTTGTAATGTGACATACATAAATCATACAAAATATTTGCATTGGAATAGAAAAATGATATGAAAATAACCCCAGGCTTTCAAGTGACAATTTATATGGTGAACTGCCTTAAACGCTGTCAAACTATTTTGACCTTACATATCAAATAATTTGCAACAATCACACTAACACTCAAAATGCATCAGAACTCCTAACATTCAGTAAATCTAACATTTATCATTGTATCTTTTTGTGTTATTCAAGGCAAAAGTCTAATACTTTGAAACTTAGCTTGACCAGCTATCTTTAGCCTATAGTCATTCAAGCTCTAATTCATTCAATCTATCAAGACTATCCAGACTATTTCTATAGTAAATCAACAATATCAATCCACAACCAGGACATTATGGGGATATAGTCAACTACATAATAACTTTCCCAGCTGACTTCAAATGCTACAGTACTTTTAGCTTGAAAATCTGACATACAGTGCATCTTTTATTTAAAAGGAAAAAACATAGGCATAAGGTGTGACAGTCCAGAACAAAAGTTAAGTTGGTAAAAATACGAATGATAATGTTAATGGATATCCAATTGTTGCCATAATTTTTCTGGAAATGCACCAGATTTACTTTAAAAACTGAAGCAAAATCTGGAATTAATCTCCATTAGGCTGGGAAATCTTTTATATTTAGAAGACTATGTCCCTTTAACAAAGGACACCAATGAAAAAGAATCAAAAACTGAAGCAAATATATTGTTAATTAATCTTTTTACAGAGGCCTTTTCTGTGTGTGTTGTTTATTAAGATCCTGGAGGTGCATTAATATCATTGATCAACGTAAATTCTAAATATGACTACTAAGTGTTAGTGTCCAACTTACTTGATTTAGTTGTTCGGATGTATCCTCTACTTGGTCTGTTTGTTTTTGATGTTTCTTAACTAACTGATGTAAATTGTGTGTTGCCCTGGAAACAAACATCAAAATTGTGACTTTATGTAGACTATAATAACAGCACTGAGCTTGTACCTCCAGCTCAAATTACTGCTACTGGTGGTGCTTGCACATTCAATAATTATCAACTGTACGTTACTGAGCATATGCCTCGCAAATGAAAATGAACTGAGTTATAATTCATACAGCATACGCATTGCAACATGCATCGTATTGCTATATGTGCAATGAGGAAAAATCATGACATATTCAAACTTATTAGACAGGAGGGTGAAAGCGAGAATGGTCTGCTTCATCTAGACATAGTTTCTCTACGAATATTCTAAATCTAATGAGTAAAGAGTAAAGCTTCTTTGATGCCAATTTTTCGATCAATTTATATAATCAAACTGCATAAGTCTGATTGATGAATTAAAGACTCCTCCAATCCAAAAGGGCACTGAAAGTTAAGAGGCAGATTTCATCGAACATAAAGTTTGCACTGTACTTACATTTTGATTCTACCCAGTAACAGAGTCTTCTTGGCCGCTGTATTTTTAATGTGCGTCCATTTTGATTCCCATTTGACAGCTTCACTTTGTGCTTTATCAAGACGTGTTTGTAAACCTGATAACTGGTTATTTTGACTGAGAATTTCATTATCTTTAGATTCTATATACTTCATTAAATCTTGTCTATGACTTTCTATAACATCTTGATTTTTCTGTTCTCTTTCTACCAAATCCTGTTGTGGACACAAAAATTTTTCTATTTTTCAGGAAAGGAAGACTCATCTTTTAAGTCCAATATATTCAATGGATAAAATATTAGTTAGGCATAATTGCCATGCAGTGTGCATTTAGGGAAATTTTGCAGCATTGGCCTATATCTCAAGTATTTTTAACTATCAAAGGATTAATCAGGCCGCTTGGAGCACACAGGACTTCTGTTTATTGTCCATTCCAACCAATGAGATGGTGTTACTGTGGGCATTGTGAGAAGGTTCTAAAATTTACCTGATGTGTAGCAGTTAATGTGTCATATCTAGCTATAATATCCCTCATTTCATGGAACTCTTCACCAGATTCTAGACATTTCTCCATATAAACATGATATATTGTATATGCTTCTAATTTCTTCTGCAATTTATCTTTAGCTTTTGCTATATTCTGTGTTTCATCCTTTAATCTTTAAATTGAATATGTTGAGTTTGAGTAATATTGCAATGTTTTCATCAAAACGATTTAAATTCTACTTTTTAAGTTTGGAATACATTTATATAAATGGTATAAGCAGAACTGTGAAATTACAATCAAAAATTGAGTATTATCATAATAAATGAGCTTTTATAATCTATACTTTTAATCCCCATTCCAATTCTAGATCACATTTTGTCCAGACATACCTTGAAATTTCTTTATCTTTCTGGTTTCTCAGATCTTTTTCATCATTTGTCTTTTTTACAGCTCTGGCTCTTTTCGAATCATTTTCCTCAAAAAAGGCGAAAAAAAAACAATGTCAGAATTAAAATGAACAGAAAAACAACATAGGTCCTTGGCTAAATTTCTCTCAAGCAATGCTTTCTACAATTATAGCTGCATATTTCTACCCTATGTCCTAGAGTCTAATGAAGTATTTGAAAATAACCTCTGTTCCCAAACCAGAAGTCTCGATGAAAGTTTTATATCCAAAATGACTGTATTCCTTTAAGATCTAATTTTGAAGTATGAAATGTAAGATACCTTTAAGAATTTATCAAATTTTAACAATGATTCTTTCAGTTGATATTCTTTTCTCTCTAGTTCTTCACGTCTCTGTTGTAGACTTTCCATTTTCATTTGAAATTCCTGAAGGAAAATAATGTCATTAAATATCAAAAAACAATTAAGTGATACCTTTACATACATAATAATATGTTAATCTTAAGAAACTAATATCAGTGGCAAGATCAATCTGAACATGCAACTGGAACATTTTGAATTCTACCAAATTCTGACATATAATGCAAATCAAAATCAAACTTGATAAGCTTTTGATAAAATTTTGTGGGATATGTTGCTAATCAAATTGCAGTCAAAATCTTATCAATTAATAATCTCCAGTTCATAATAGTTTTGATTATAAGATGTTTTGACCAATATGTGAGCAAACCTCTTTTTGAGCTGCCAAAGCTTGCTCCACTTCCGCCATCTCCCTTCTCTTTTCCAACAATCTGGTGGCCGGTGTGAGATGGTCATCTTCACGCTCTGGCATTTTACTAAAATATCAAAATTAAGATTTTTAAAATCAGAACAATTGGATACAACAATATGTCCTTACAGAATGCCTGCTACAAGCTGTGGTAGAACTGGCAGTAATTTTATTGATTTTATAGTCAGGGATCCCAGTATGGAATAAAATAAATCATTCATGTGGGGAAATTTTACCATTTTAAGATGCCTTGGACAGTCATCTTAGTTGTTTTATTGCCAGAAAAATAAAGGAATTCCTATTATAAAAAAGAGGAAATCTAGGATCCCTGTGATCGTGAAGTAAATTTTTAAATAATAAAAAATAACATATTAAAACAGTGGCGTTGGCAGCAAAATTATGAATATAATTATGTAATAATGATTCCTTATTAAGCTATAATGTTTTAACATATATTTTAATTGTCAGTCATTGACACTGTTGATGAAAAAATGAAATTTACAAATGATTAAATAAAAAATCCAATTCTCAACGAATCCGACACAATGCTAAAAAGGAATGTTGAAAAAAGAAAAAGATAAATTTATAACTTACACGAGGAGTTTATCCTCAAATGTGGTCCTAAAGTATTCTTCTAGGCTGACAGTCATGTTGGTGATTTACAAAAATACACTTCAAACACAAAAAAAAGCTTGAATTGACAATAACACTATCCTTTTCTCTCAAGCCCAAAAGAGATTAGCTTTTGGTAGCCATTAATAAACAATGGAGGTGTCACTATAGTAACACTTAGCCTCTAAACAAAAATTCGTAGTATTTAAAATGCCCATTTAGTCAAAATTGATAATATGGATATCAAAATTTACATTATAATGAATTACAATAATAGCGAAAATAAAATCAAATAGATTTGAGTCCAGTTTTTTGGATAATTTACTTAAATTTTTTTAGAGAGTATTACGTCCAAGATGGCCGGTTTTCTTAGCAGAAATATTTCGGGAAAGGCCTTGTCCCTTTCCTCATGTCTTTCAAAACAAATTGGAACACATGCAAGGTAAAACTAAATCTCGTTTTCCCTGATTAAACTATTTCTGTATCTAAAATTAACGCTTTTGGTGTGACAATCTTCTATTCTGTCTTTGTTTACATCATGGTCAATAAATAACCTTGACCTTGAAGTAATGGTAATCTTTCTCGCAAGCTAGTCATGAATCTGGGCTACATGCAAACAGCTCTATCAGCTGTTTAATCCTACTTCACTTGTAAGTCATTGGTTCAGCTTATGTGAACTTTCAATGTCATTCTTCCATTGGCTTCTAATGAGGATACAGAAATGATGAAAAATAATGTGCGGTGACGGTGCATATAGCCAGTGTCAGTGCAGTGCAAACTCCTAATAAAAATAAAACTCAATTACAGTGTAACCCTCTGATAAAAGAATAAATGTAAATTCTAGCATGCTCAGTCCCCATAATTTTGCCTTTGGTTTCAGATGTATAAGTTCCACACCATCCAGTTTGCAGGAAGACCAAGCAAAAGCTGGCTGGTTAAAAAGTATTCTTCCTATTCGAACCCTTGAACCAAGTAAAGAGTCACATTCAAGTCAACTTTCATCAAAAGAAATAGTGTATGAAATTCAATGTACGTTTTTGCTAAGTAACAAAATCTTATATGCTCTCAAATAAGCTTTGTGGTCAGATATTTGCTTATTGTATTCTGGCATTAATCGGCAAATTTATTTTTTTCCAATTTTTTTAAAGTGAATTTGAATATCTACTCCAAAACTGTAGTCAGTTTGATAAAGATTTATTTGTTTGTTATTTATATGGCTGAAATTCGTCCTTAGTAAAAACGCCATTCTAGGGGATAATGTATGTTTGGACATGGTTTCAATGTTCTTTCTTTTCAACATAACGTCATTTACAGGCAGAATAAATAAAAGTGCTAATTTGAAGCAATTCTTTTAAAATAATTGTTAAAATTTGTTTCATTGAACAGTATGTGAAAACATTGGCGATAGACCTTTAGCTCACAACTTTCTGTACCATATTTTGTGAAGACAAATCTGAAATATGGTTCATCTTCAATTTTGGAAAACCTTCTCACAATCTAGTTGCAACATTTTAAGTTGCCAGACAGTTTATGACATTCTTTCATGCAGATATTATTGTTATATTGACTATGGTAGAATGAATCTAATTCAACCTTTGTTACATGAAATCTTTTATTTTTTTAATTTTCAGTTCATTCTGTAAAACCAGAGTGTATGGAAGCTTACCTCAATAAATTGTAAGTCATCATTTGATTTTTGAAATTTGATGTTTGTCCAGAAAATATTTTTGAAATGGTCTTCAGATTTTATAATGTTCATTTCAAGAATATGGAAAAATTTATATCTTGTTTTCATCTCTTTTTGATCAGTGATGAATGTATTTGGGATTTTTGTATCTAATGTCATGTAATGGAAAACACATTCCAGTAACGAATATTGTTTTGATGAAAAGTTTTGATAAATGAATACCGTACCAGAATTTCGCCTATAAGGATCAATTTCATTTAAATTATGGACATCTGTTATGATTGCAGTTCTGAATTTCAAGATTTAATGCAGAAGAAAGAAACTGGTTCTAAATTAGTGGGTAGTTTTACTGTAGAAGTTGGCAACCAAGATGAAGCTAGTAGGTTTTGTACTCTTGTCTTTATAATTCAAAGAGCAAGTATCAAATTTTTGTAAGATCTAAATAGTTTGTATTATAAAAAATGGTCACGTAATATGTCAGAGAAAAAAAAAATGTGTTGAGACAAAGACTAGAAAAAGGTCATTAGTAAATGAATTTATATTTTTAGTTCATATATGGGAATATGATGGTGGTTATCCAATGCTCAATGAAACAAATGCAGTGTACAGAACAGACAAGGTAAGCTTCAATGGTAGAGTTATTTTATGCACATTTACAAAATTATGACTTCAAGATATTTTCTAAAGGACATTGACATTTGCCTCTCTTCAAGTTGTTAGGTGGAGTACTTAAAGGGGTATTTGGATTTTTTGTAAAAAACGTCATAAACTATACCAAAAAATATTTCCATAGTATGCTATTTATATCTATGTATCTTTATCAACCTGAATTTGTTTTAAAAAGGGTAATTAAAAACGGAGAGTACTGATAGTTAATTATGCAGTTTGACCTAGTTTTGTTGTGTGGCTACATAATGGCTAAATATTATTAGTTATACTTAGGAGAAACATTTATCTTTAATTACGCGTCTATTTTACTCAAATCCGTACAGCTTCCAAAATGCATTACAAATTTAAAATTCTTTTAAAATATTTTCAGTGTTTAAAAAGTAAGGGCTGGATTTTTAGATTTAAAACTTACAGATACGTTAAAGGGCACATTTCTCTACATTTTTCTGTATAGTTTTCACTAATTTTTTCGACATACAAAAAAATTGGAATGTCCCTTAAAGGTCAGAAAAACTGAGCCCTGTTTTCCGCACCTCTGAAGACGTGGGTTTTCTTCAACATATTGATGTCCATCAAATCCACTAAATCACTGCTACTTTCATTTTTTGTGACTTAATACCTTGATCCTTGGACGTCACAAAGTCTTTGATGGCCGCCCCAGATAAGTTTTGTTAAAAATTAATTTGATGAAACTGCAGACAAAAATGGTGTAGGGAGATAATGATGCTATGATAGTGTTTGATGTATAAAAAATATATTCAAAACTGACTTATCCTATAATGACACATATCTTTTCATAAGTTCAATAGCTATAGGGGCAAAAAGTAGTAAATTCAACTCTCTTTTAATTTCAGGACTTTATAGATTTTAGAAGAGAAAGAAATAAGATGTTACGCTCACGAAAAAATCAGATTTTATTAGCATTTAGTTTCTGGCCTAAACCTGTAGCTAGAGAACCTAGTAATATCTATGAATTAAGAAGTTATGTTTTAAAGGTATGAGTGTTGTTAAAATGTTGATTAGCTAGGTACTGTCCTATTAAATATTGAGTCAAATCTCCATGATTTTAAACACCATGAACATTAAGAAATTACCTTGGATATAATTGTCATGCAACAAAAATCCCCTCTTCCAAAGTGGTATTTGCTTATTACTTAGTTATAATTGTTTTTTCTATAGCCTGGTACTATGATAGAATGGGGAAATAACTGGTAAGAATATCACTTTTCTTACTTATAGACTAAAGTCTTTGTTCTAAACATTCAGGTTACAGTGGGATTAGACCGAGCTATTAGTATTTGTGATTTATTCCATGTTTCAAAAAATGCCAATACTTTTGGCTGTGTACTAAATTTCTTTGATTTAAGTACACATTTACACATCGGGAAAAGTTAATACACAATTTCTCCAAACATGTAGCACTGAAAGCATACCAGCCAAAGGATTATTCTGATCATTATCCCTGCTCTGAAATTTTAATTGAAACCAATATGAACTTGGTGTGTAAATACATTATTTTAAAGGGCTCGAGGTTTACCAGCAAGACAGACAAACAATGAACCAGTGGCAGCCTTCTTTTCACAGATGGGTGATTTAAATATTGCCCATCATATTTGGGGTAAGGGTAGAGTCTAACATAGGAGTATTTTCTTTCAGTCTTGCTGTATTTTAACTGTTGTTGTTTTTGTATGGGTTTTCAGATTTTTAACTCATCTTTGTGTGTGTGTGTTTTATTTTCATTTTTCTCATATCATTGATCAAGCTGTATTTATGATGTGATTGATGAGCTTAGAAAACTGAAAATTGTTTTTTGTTATCTTAATTTGAAGGATTTTGACATCTTGTTGCTTTGTTATCTAAATTTGTTGAAATTTGGTAACTTATACCTCTCATGTAAATTTAATAGAATTTGGTAACTCTTACTTTACCACTTAAATTTGTGGGATTTTATAAAAATACTATTACAAGTACAGGTATTATGATTATCATACTAAAGAGATCTTACATTCCTTCAATTATTATTCTTCTTCTTCATTATTCAATATCAGTTCAACATTTGTTAGAGGACAAGAGGACATATTTGCAAACTAAAATTGTTTACTCTATTCATGTGAGTTGCATTGGCCTTTTCTGGCAATCTGTTTGATTGCTCAAAATGAATTAAAATATTGTGAAAGAATTGTCAATTCAAACTTGATATGAATTAGAAACAGAAAAAGCACATTCAAGTATTTTATCTATTATCAATCTGTCTAATTGATCAAACTTTCAAACAAAATAAATGATATTTTTGGTCGAAATATTAGAATTTTATCATCAGTCTTCTAACAAGTATCTGGCTCTCATTTGATTAACATTTAGTTGAAATAGTTTCATATCTTCAATAATTTCCACCATTTTAAGGGCTAGAGGTATAAAACATAGATCAGAACAAGAGGCCCCTGTAGCAGGATTTTTGACTCATATTGGAGAACAGTATAATGTTCATCATTTATGGTGTAAGTAAGATTACTAACTAATTCATATATATACCTCAATATCAACCTAATTCTGAACTAATACAATAATTGTCAACTGTCAAATATTTTTTTACACAACATCTGTAGGGAAAAAATTCTTGCAGTCCAAGATAAGTTATATTTTTTTTTTATTTTGAAGGAATCATGCATGATTGTTAAGTTGTCGACTTTTTCTGAAGCATGAGCATGATTATTTGTCATTGTTGTTATTAAAAGGGAATTTATAAAAAGGCTTTCATGCTGAAATATTGATACCACTGTGTGATTTTGCCATGGAATCTATATTGCTTAATTATGCTATATCTTTGTAGAACAATTACATAATCAACAAAAACTTTTACATTTCTCTTGCAAATATTAACTATGCTTTTGGCACTCAGTATTGATGCTTATTTTTGCTTTTTTTTTGAAAAAATATTATTTGGACCTATGCCTTGAACCTTAGATCTTCAGGTGAAGTAGCAAATGTACAACTCACTGAGCCATGACAGCATGGTAGCAATCTAATCAGTATTCAGAAAAGCTGAACTTAGTGGATGACATGAAATGATCGTTACAATACTTCAGATCAACAATACTTTTATGTCAAAGTCAAAGTCAACTTTAAAACTTTTTAGCATACATCATATTATGTCTATAATATAACAGTAAGAAACAATACATATGTCTTTAGATATTGATAAGGTACTTTGTATGAGTTGTTAAATGATACAACAATATAACTTGATATAATATTCTTCCACTATATTTATAGGCTATAAAGATTTACAAACAAGAAAATTTACTCGTGAGGCAGCTTGGAGTCGACCTGGCTGGGATGAGTGTGTAGCTTATACAGGTACATTTTCAGTTGAAATAATCTCTAGAGCTTCAAGAAGATGTACAGGAATGAATTTTTCAGAGTTGATAACTTATTTTACAGCCTTTACTAAGGTTTTCATGCTGTATACTGATTTCATACCTTTACCATGTCAGTCTATTTGACCTAGTAAATATTTAAGTCTGGATTGTTTTTTTTATTTCAGTACCTCTGATACGACATATGCAGTCTAGAATTTTGATACCCACACCTTTCTCCCCTCTACAATAGTATGCACAAGGGAGTTCTAATGCATATTCTTACTGATGATTTTAATAAACATTATCTGATGATAATTTGGTATAAGCTGATGACAGGTGACTGATTATGGTTGTTTATGAGGCCCACACTATTGAGAGATTTCAATGTAAAACTCATTAGGAACATATGTGGCTATTATATATTTTGACAGCTAACCCCAGCTGATGAAAGACTTTCTGATGATTTATAATGACTGATTATTATTATTACTAATGTATTCAGGGTGTTTGGTAGATTATATTTGTGTACATATACAGACAATTAAGATTTTGTGTTTTAATAACAAGGAATAAATGATGTTGATTGTGTTTATTTACTGAAATTGTGTGGATTTACTTACTAAACATATTATTGTTACTTAAAGAGTTTTAGTTGCTTTGCTTCAAATATATTTAAGCATCTAAATTTATAAGTGATTCTTGGATGAGTATTGACTAATGCATTACAAATGTCCAAATTGAATGATAATTGGTCTCAAATTCACATTTAGGCATTTACGTGTATTAATCTTGGCTGGTATATACACCCAAAACAAAGCCATGATGGATCACAGGTTGCCATGGCATTGCCATATTAATAACAGATATTGGATAATTGCCAAATGTACAGTCATTCAGTCTTAGTAGAGGTGCCAAAATACAGTATAAAACTGAGAAAAGACTCTCAATATGAGATAGTAACAGTATTATTTTTTGTCCTTTAAATATTAAACTTAGTTTAACTCTTGCAAAATAATAGATTTTTTGTTTCCAATGAATTCAAGAACTCCAAACAATGAAATTCATACAATGACTTAATCTTTAAAGTCATAAACTTTGATTTATTGTCTGCATGATCACTTTAGTTAGATCAAAAAATGTTCATGTTCACATAAAAATAATGATTACAATATTGATCTAAAGTAATTATCAGTTATTTCTATGAATTTAATTCATTTAAACATCTGATTTTACTACAAATTGATTTAATCAATTGATATAATTTGATAAGATATGCATTACTTATATAATCTATGTTCATTTTTTTTTTCAAGATAAGTTTTGTTTACTTGTTTCTGTTTGATATTATCTCTGTTTTAGTGCTTTCTGTTCTGTTTTTTATGGTAGTTAGCTTTATTTGAGGGTATTCAGCATAAAACATAAGATGATTGAAAAAGGTTAATTAGAAGGTCGTAGTTGCATTGCAGCCAGGGGCAAATGGAAAGTTTGTTCAGGATATGGAATTAAAATAAACCTATATCATACTTGATGGCATGTTGGTAAGGATCTGTTCTAAAGAAGAGTGGATCTTATTAGGTCATTTGGAAGAACTTTGTCTTTTCTGTGTTAAACTAGAAAACATTACTATATTAGTTTCTAGATTAATAGTAACATAGTAGTCTAAATGTGTGCTTTCCTAGCTGAGAGAGCTCAATTTATTTTTATCAAAATTGATGTCTTTCATCTGTAATATTAGACATAATGACAACAATTAGATGTACTAACTTTCTCAAAAGCATTTTTAACCAATTGTAATAACTTTTGGCAGTTATGAAAAAGAGGTTTTGCAATTATTGCAAATAGGGGTGTAAAACTGATTGGAATTTAGATCATTGAAACATCTACTCTAACATTACAGATTTACTACCAACATCTGAAAAGGGACTCTTACTATCAGCTGGTAAAGCCAATATTAAGACAACTATACTTCTTTAAGGTATTCTATCATTAGATCCTTGGCTTTCACTGGAATATTTTATTGAAAGAATGTTGAGTGATAAATTGTACAGTAAGTTGTACTATATATAGATTATGTGAATACTAATATTGAAATAGATGAGAAGTACCATCAGTACCATGTATTGATAATGAACTATATTTTGTGAGTCTATTTTGATTTGTTTCAATAAAAGAAGATAAACTTGTAACATGATGGAGTTTAAAATACTATGGGGTAAAAGAAATGAAATAAATGGAGTTTTATGTTCTGCTCTTCTGCATTTAAATGTACGGGGCTATAAATGTAATATGATGATGCATGCTAAAGAATGAAACCCTTGACCATATGTTGAAAGGGTGGTTCTAATCAGTTACAATCTCGAAACCTACATACAAGGTGACTTTATTGTTTTATCATTTGATTATTGATAAAAACAGAACAAGCAAATAAAGCAATTCAAATTATGAATTAATCATTGAATACAACCATAGGTACAATCAATGAGGGCGCCCTGTCTCTCGAGACTAGGGGTCTCTGTGTTCAATTTAGATTGATTTGGTAAGAAATTAGTCTCAAAAATTTTCATTGAAATCAGCTAGTATTTCAAAATGTTTTATTTGTATATTGCTTCCTATCATGTCTAAAATAGTATAATATAATGATAAAATAATCACAACGTAACGTAACATACAATAGCTCGATTATTGAGACCGCCAAGCGTCTAGATTAGGCAAATGAATTTGTCTTCGATTTGTCGATATAAATTTTATTTTTTGCTTTTATGGAAAATCAGAAAGAAAACATAGTGGTAACAGAGATGAGGGAAATTGCTCATCAAAATAGAGGCAATGAAACAAAGGAAGAAAAGGAACGACCGAGAAGACAGGAAGGGATAGATAGAACAGTAGTCATAAGGGAGGAAGATATAGATGCTAAGACAGGGGGAGGGGGATACATTGCAAATATTTTAGTATTAAAGAATAGAGGAAACAACAGAAGGATGAAGAATTGGAAGATGTAGAAGTCGTATGGGGTTCGTGGGATATTCTCTTATATCGAGAAGTACTTTTTGTACCACCGTGCAGTGCTTCGAACTACAGTGCTCCGAAGACTTATCATTGATGGCCGTCCCACCAGCTCTTTAACGGTGAGATATTGGCGCTTGAATAGACATAAATTGGATTTTAAAATATTTTTTTAAAAAAAAAGTGGTCAATTACAATTGTAGAGAATTCACTCCCATAAGCAAAATGTATATAAAACGTTACTATTGTATATCGATCTCTAACGACGTCTTTAATAATTTAATGATAAAGATTCAGTAATCATATTGCATTGAAGGAAATACGGATAACTAGTAAAATAAACTAAAATATAGATTACTTTTCAAAGAACTGGATATTACATCAAATGCAAATTTAGTGATTTTTCAGCATTTGATCGCAGAGTTCTTTTAACAACTTTTCCATTTATATTGAACGGAAATTTCTTCAAAGTCAAATAATATCCAGGACAACCTTCTTTCAATTCCGGATCTTTTCCAAACTCATTTTCACAAAAATCTCTTACATCTTGCTCCGAAACTGACACCCCAACTCGTGGAACTATACAGGCACATAAATCTTCTTTCTGGTTGACAGTAACATTTATAACAGTAACTTGGTAAACACCGGGAGCTTTTCGAACTAAACTTTCTATCTGACTTGCATGGTAAATATTTCCATCCCTTGACACAATGTCTTCTGTACGACCCTGTATGATTAACTCTCCATTAGGCTTCACACGTCCATAATCTTTGGAAAAAAAGTAACCATCTTCGCTAAAAGATTGTTTCGTCAATTCTTCATTACCAACGTAACCAACAAAAAAAAATGGACTTCTCTGAAAAGTCAGATGACCGGATGCTCCGTTCGTAACTTCTTTTAAATTTTCGTCGATTATTTTCATCTTTATATCATAAACAAAGGAGCCAGAGTTGAAGTCTTCAAATTCCGTGTCCTTCTCGATCTTTTTCATAGTTAGCAGGTTCATTTCCGATGATCCATACATATTGTAAAAAGTATGACAGACTGTACCAATTACTTCCTTTATGGACTGTGTTAGAGGTTTACCGCCAGTCCAAACAACTTTCAATGGCCATTCGTTTCTTAATTTATGGTCACTTTGAAGAAAATAATTGAATTTGGAACATGTCATCTGATCCAGTTTGGCACATTCACAAGACTCATTAATGATGGTGTCAAAGACAAATTTAGGCAAATCATCTTCTGGAATTTGGAACCTGTTATCTATGTGTACGCTTCTATTTCCAGTACACAAATACCACTGAGGTATGCCCAGAAACCCATAAAGTTTTGGCATGTTAAACATAGTTGAATTCGGATACTCATCCATTACGCATGGGAACATTCTATACATACCCGTCTGTAAACCTTGTCGAGAAAGTTCGATTATTTTGATTGCACCCGTAGTTCCAGAACTGACCGTTAAAACACCACCATTATCCATTGTATCCTCAATGTCCACAGATCCTGAATTGTTGATTTCTTCTTCCCAAAAAAAGCCAGCCTGGTTTACGTCTATATCTTTACTACCCACGACGAATTTCAAGCTAGATATGGAATTTGAGGTAACTTTGTTCCCTGACATTCTGTGGATTAATTTAGATACAATCTTCGTGGCTGCATTTTCTGGATCAGAAGAAATTACAGGAGGTTTACCACCACACTTCCAGGTGAAACACCCAGTTGTAGCAAATGTAAACCAAAGACTTTAGACTTGTTGAAAACATCTGCACAAGTTAAAGCTGTTCTTGGACCATCTTTAGATACGAACACCAATGCTTCATCATCTGGGTGTTTATTAGCCCAATGTTGTACTTTTCTTGGGATTGACAAGTTATCTAATTCCATGTTGGTTTATATTTCTGAAAAATATATTTGTATGTTAATCTTTGTTGGAAAGTGTTAACAATAATTGTTTAAAGGTACAAAATGATATATATATATATATATATATATATATATATATATATGTAGACAAATAGCCTACAATATGCTGGTGTAGACAAGTTGATAGATCGGTGAAGACATGTTGTTATCTATCTATCTATCCTACGTATGCCTATCGACGGACTGGGTTTGGACTATTTGTTATACTTTTTCCCAGGACACAATGATTTGACAGGTAAAAATGTATAACAATTCTACTTGAGTCTATACTGAATCTAGACCTTCTTACTTGACCCCTTCCAAAGCCAATGAATGAATTCTCTACCAATCCCTATATTCGTTAGATATACTGATACCGCGAACACAGATGGTTTCCTACTTTAGAACATCTATGAATAACATCCTAAGCCATCTCCTGTTTGAAGTTAAGGTGA